TTTTTTTTTTTTTTAGATATAGATTAAAAAACATTTGGCTTTACTTATCCATATCTTTTTTACCTGTACAGTAATACTGTTAATATTAGTATTATTTATTTATCTTTTTTTTTTGTTTGGCGACAGATGATTTTTTGTATAGAATAGTTGTGGAGCTCAAATTATTGAGTCTGGGAAAATTGTTTCTGTTTTTCTGTTTAATCATTCAATCTTTTGCTCAGATAATTAATTTTATTACTGCTGTAAGTGGTGGTCAAGTAAAAAAAAAATTTTGTTTCTGTTTTCTCTCAATCAACAACATACGCTTTTAGGCCACAAATCACTATTATTTTAATTATAATTAACCTTAGCTTGTTGAAATCTATTTAAGTGTTACGTAACAAAAGTTAATGCTTTTATTGTGTGTTTGTGTTTGTGTGGGTGTGGGTGTGTGTGTTTGTGTTATTTGTGCTTATGTTTATTTGTTTATCTGATTTGTTGTCCTTATTATTGCTGTTGTTACTACCGATGTTGTAGAAGAAGGTAAAACAAAAACAGAAAAAAACGAAAGATTGATGATTAAGAAGGAAGAAAGAGATGATGAGATAAAACTGTAAAAAAAAAGTGAATAAATTTGATTTTTATATTGAATTAAATTTAATTTTTGTATCGGATTTTCTGCAATTTTATGATGCGATTTAAAAATGAATAGTATTTTCTACGACTAAGTTAGATCATTCAGTCTTCTATTATCACTTTCTTAATGCCCTAAGTGATGGTGGTAAGTTGTAACAGTGAACTAACAGCTGATTTACTTTACGAATTGTACGAATTTCGTTTTGTTCAATTATCTTAGACTTTATTTTAAATCTTTTTTCAATTTATTTTGATCACTGATACTAAGTGTATCAGTTAGATTTATGGTCAGTGACTGACTGTTATTTACAGCCAAAAAAAAGAAAAAAATTTTTTTTTCTCAAATTTGAAAAGATAATTTTCTAGGAATATAATCTTGCAAATAGTCTACAGTTTTCTACTATCTAATTCCAGTGTAATTGCTTTTGGAATTTTTCTAATCTGTTCAAAACCTACTGTTTTGAAAATAAAGAATAATGCTTACAGTAGACATAATTGATGGTTAAACATTATGTTGTTAATTAATGTCTCTTAAAGGGTACTAATTGGACGACAATATGCCTGTTATATTGTTGTCAGCTTCATTTTTGACTTGGTCCCTGTAGTCTAGAGCTAATTACAAATCATCCATCTTATCAGTCTTCCAAAGTATCATTCTTTAACACATTTCTTGTTGCATTTGTCAAAATTTTTTAGTAATACAGCAATTTACGTCTATGAATTCAGCTGGATGTGATGATTATAGAGATATCAAGCAGGGATTCTCTTGAGTAGTAAAATAAAAGTTTAAATATGAAAGAAAATAATCTTATTGTTGTCTACTTTTTGATTTATTACCTTATGTTGAAAAATTTGTGGTTTAATATTTTATTTTCTACAATTTTTTAATCACTTCACCCATGAATTGTCTTATGAGCAATTTTTAACTGTTTAATTACACTTTAGGTCTTATTTGGTACTTGCCTATCCTTTGTTAAAATTTCATTGACATAAAACTGTTGATCGTAGTTTGTTCAGAGACCCTCCCCAAAAAAATAGAAGTAGCAATATCGTTCATGATGTTCAGCAGTTTGCATGCCTAACAGTCAGCATTAGTTAAAATTCGTTAGAAAATAAGTGGTGGTTATTCCATGCTGTTTTAATTATCAGCAATAATTTCTTTACAATTCAGAAATTGTGGTGACATGGGTTACAATAAATGGTTGAAAGGTGAAGAAGCGATGAGCGACACAGAAGCCGCAAAATTACTGATAAGTCGAGCACAAACAGAAGCTTTATCTTCAGTCAGGCAATTTTTTGTAAATTATTTGTAAACCTGTGTGTAACAGTTCGAGATGATTTTGAAATTAAGACATGGTTTTTTAGGGAACTTGGGATATTTTCTGAAAAGCAGATATCTCTAATGCTGGAAAAAGGCGGCCAGAAAGAAGTGGATGATATGGCAGCTGCAGAAACAAGTCTGGTTAAATCGTTTCTTAAATTGCCTACGTCTACGGTGGAATCATCGTTTCATGATTTGTTTGATAGAACCTTAGTACGCCTTAATTCTCCCTTATATTTTCACACCTTTCCTTCGTCATACCTAAGTACTCTTAAAAATGAATAAATAAAGAACGAATGAATTCAAAGTTTAATAAGTTGTAGTTTTTTTCCAAATCTTTTTCCAGTTTTTTGTGCTGATAAATTAATCAATTAATAATGTCAAAATGCCAAGTAATGTTCACTTTAAGGGAGAGGAAGAAAAACTAACTGAAAAAAATAGCCAGAAAACTGAATTTTCCAACGAACAAACGGCAGGTGAGCAAAATTACAGTATCTGCCGTTGCAACGGTGAGCCGGCGGTGGACAGACATGCGCGAACGACGAAAGTTGAACAAACCGATTATTCAAAGGTCGATCGTGTAATCGGTATAACGGAAAAAATGCGTCTTTTCTCTTTGTCGCCGATTCGCAGTAGGCATGCTGAGGTTAACCAACCAACCTTTATTCCACATTGTTCGGAAGAGGCAAACCATCTTAATGGAGTGGAATCTGTGGGACAATTGGGAAATTTAGAAAAATTTGTTAATGTGCATCGAATGTCCAAATCACCTGAAAAAACGCCTATTAATAGTACTGTGACATCAGTTTCATCAGCCGTGACGACACAAAGCTCGTATAGCAAAGAAACAGCGCAGCAGGAATCGGCTCTTCATATTCATAATCCAGTATGTAGTGCAAATCGCTCCCATGATAAACTATCAGCAACGACACTTATGAGCGACGGATGCGCAGTAAAGAAGGAAGACGTTTCCGAAGAACTTTGCGCAACAACGAGTACTGATCTCGCCGCTATCAGTTGGCAAACAGTTTCTCCATTTCTGAATTGCGAAAGACAAAAAAAGGCGGTTTCTGAGGCTTTGAATAACCCAGAAGTATTAGCCGGCAGTTTGAACAAAGCTGGTAAAGATGTAAAGAGTAAATTTTCTGAAACAGCCTCAGATTCTTTCCTTGCAGCTGTCAGCAGTCAGGATGTTTTTTCACTTCTCAGTTGCTGTAATGACAAAACCTCAACAAGTATAAAGAAGCAACTTAGCGATATAGTTGAATCGCCAGATGAGACATCTAGCGATTCATTTCTTCGCTCTGTATGTACACAAGTTGAGAGTCATGTAATTGGTCAACTGGCAGGTTCCGCAGCTGAAGCTTCTATTTCCGACTCACCTTTGGGATCAGCCTTAGAGCAACGTAAAGGAAAAGTAGCTCCACATCAAGAAAGCCGTCAGAATTCCCCTAATATTTTAGACAAAAGTCGTGATTTGTTTGACTCTTTCTACTCATCTCCTGTAGCTGATACTAAAACGCATGATACACATTCTTCTCCTTTTATCGCTACCTCTACAGTTGCACCTGGGACAAAACGTATTCGTTCGCTTATAGTAACAAGCTCACCGTCTACTCCTAGTAGTCACAGTCCATTAGTGAAGTGCTCAAAGCACCAGTTGTCTCCAATTGAATCTCGGCTTCAGACCGTCAAAAGCACGTCGTCTTTGCCTACACCTGTTTCTAATGTGAGAATTCAACTGCCAAAGGAAATTTTCGATGCGTGCAGGTATAAAATTTTTACTCACCATTTTGAGAGAATTATTCTTTGAGTACTTCACTGTATTACTCGTTTTCTTGTTCCTTTGACTTTTTGAAGATCTTACGACGAGTGGAAGGACTTTAATATAAAAGTCAAGCGGTGGAAAGAGATAGGTTTAGCTCTTGCTTATGGTCCTCTCAACAATCGTAACTGTCAATCGTTAACTGGAGTAGCTGTGTGCCCTCTGAGTGGTTCGCCAGTGTATATTGACCTAAATAATTCGCCGATATATGGTAGGTGACATTCGTTAACCTTCAAATTTATAAAGTTTCTTAATTTTTAACTACTCATGTTTTCAGGTGGCGAAGGAGAAGAAGAACTGTACCCAAGTTTCACTCCGTTAGATTCAATACCCGTATGTGAACGAATTGCGCTTATTGAAACTGTTATTTGTTCTTCACAGACTAAATACGTATATGATGTTCTTTCATTTTTACGACGTTTGTCTCTTCCACCATTTGGCCGTCAAATTACTGAAAGGGCTAACAGCTTTAACTGTCTCCAGTTGCTCGGTTTTATTGCCAACTATCGGAGCAGTAATGCGCAATCTGTTCTTGGCTTAGAAGCAAGTTTATACAAAGCTTTATTTGAAACATTAAGTACAGTTATGTTTTCCTTGAGTAATAAGATTAAAACTTATGTAAATTACAGTTCAAGAGAATTTTTCTTAGGAATTTTTATCAGAGCTGCCTATCACTCAAGGAATAAGCTTTAAAAAATACCGCAGTGGACGAATTTTGTCTTGTATCGAAGCTTTTCTCTCTGTGAACCTTTTCTCCCATGTTTATTCCGAAGCTCTTACGCAAACTACAGCGGAATCTGTCGACTTAGAACTG